GGCGGCGCTTAATCTCCATCTAAACAACCGCCAACAACTTCCAACACAAGGTTGGAGTGCAGTTTGCTCATGGAGCCGTTACCGTTTAGAGTGACGGAATGCTACCTCAGCCTTAGATGTTGCCGGGGTTGATGAAGTTGAAAAGGCGAAAGCCCGCTCCCATCGAAATGTGACGTTGAATCGAGAATACTGCATGCCTTCTGCGCGGCAGCTTTGTTGAAGATGGCCTCTGCAGGGGGTCTTCGCTCGGCACAGTCGCCCGACGATGTTCGGCCAGAACACAGAATCGCTCGGAAGCCGGTCCCGGACAGGAGCTCTACACAGTACAGCGCCCTGACTCCGGAAAGTTCTCCATCATCGCCGAATACCAGCAAGTGCGCCGGAAGAGTAACCGTGACGGAGCAGACTCATGCAAAATGGCGACCCCAGTGGCTCCGGCCACATTCCCTCGCATCATTCGCCGGACTGTTCCTGTGCATTTCGGTTGCCCTCCCAGCAATGCTGTGGTACTCTCAACAACATGACGGCATAGCAAAGACTCGACAAGATTACGGTTACGTGTGGCGGTTCGGCCCAACAGCCGGTAAGTCCTGAATGTCACATGGAAAAGAGATCAGAGGACCAACCCATTCTGCAGTTCTCACGATAGTCGCCGCTTTCTGGGCACGGGTCGAGTTACAAGCCATGAGATACATGCCTTGGATCGCCCTCCGACGCGGCCAATCTCCCGACTACGACCTGGATTACACATCCATGCTGATGCCTACCGTTCTCTACGCATCCCTACACCGGAAACACTGGCTAGTCCTCCTGGTCTCGGTGGTCTCCCTGCTGATCAGGGCCGAGATCGTGCTCGCCCCTGGTCTGTTCCAGCTCACACCTGTCCAGCGTGCAGAGCCGACCAGCATCGCACTGGCAGACTCCTTCAGCCTCACATGGGACACCGACACGGGGCGCGAAGCAATCATCGCTTACTATGCCGCCCGTGCTGTACATGACTTCAACATGACTTATCCTTTCGGCGTCGCCCAGGAGGCTGCCTACCAGACATTCGCACTGGCGGATACGGGCAGAAGAGGTACCACCAGCGCGCCTGTCAGGGCCGAGGTTGACGCCTTCTTCACGGGTATGGAGTGTCTGAAAGCGAAAAGATGGTCAGCTTCGGAGGCAGCAAAAAAACTTCAAAGCAGGTTCTACTCGGTCGATGTTTCTTTCCAATTCGAGGGCTGTCAGCAAAACGTCTCATTCACCCAAGAAACGGTCCAGATGCCAGACACGTCGATAATGCCAGCGAAGATCTATGACTCCTGGCAGCTGAGTAAAGACCTATCACCCAATTCCCGCCCATGCGCCAATCTGCCGCAACAGTATTACCAATTTGTCTATTTCGCGGGACAATATGTGAAGGGCGCATCTGTCAACTCGTCCCGGCCCGTGGAGCTTGTAAAGGCAGATGCCATTCTGTGCTCCCCCACCGCTTGGATATCCAAAGTCGAAGTTACCGATGACGGGATCAGCCCGAACCTCACGGTCTTACCGAGCCAGGAAAAGCGCCTAATCGAAGCTGACATTTGGGGCATCTTGGGAAACGCTGTCCCGACGACTCCTGGAGGTTGGGATTTCAGCTCTCAGATTGGCACCTCCCAGCTGAACTACGGGCCCGTCAGAGGGGAACTCTCGTTCAGCGAAGAGCGAGCCAACTTTTCGGACACAACCGAACTGCTGTACAATTGTACCATCAGCTTGACCAGGAGGCTGGGGCCCCTTGTCGGGCACTACCTGTTTCGACAAAATTACACCGGCAAGTCTGAAGCGGTCGCGGACATGTTTGTTGTCATCGATAGACTGGCGCTCAACCCTCAAGTCTGCTGGGCTATATTTGCTCTTTCCGCTCTGATAGCCGCCATCACCGGCCTCTCTTTGTTTCGATCCCGGCGGTATACCACGATATGGCACCGAGATCCGGCTACCGTCTTGGGACATCTCCTCTTCCTCAGCGACCATCCCGAGCTTCGAGAAATGGAGCCCAATGAAAGCGATGATAAGAGCTGGAGCCATGGTACCTTCGCCCCGATTGTGTTGAGACCCTGGGCACAGATTGCATTTGCGATTTTCGTCTGCGGTCTTCTCATTGGCCTAGGTTCGACGTTGCAGCAGTCGGAGGCGCACCATGGGCTAGCAACAGTCGACGAGAGGGGATACTGGTATCTGTTGTGGACTTCCTTCCCATCGATGATCATGCTAGGCGTCTCGTTGTACATCAGCTCATGCGACTTCGTTTTGAGGGGCTTGTCTACCCTTCACAATCTGTCTACCCGGCCGTGTGACTCCCGGTTACTGGACTCCTCCATGCTGGACATGCTCGGGCTCCGCGCGCTTTGGAAATCATCGCAGCAAAGGCTTTGGACGATTACCATGTCCCAGCTCACGGTAGTCTTTTGCGGCTTCCTAGCCACACTTGCTACCGTCCTCTTCTCAATTGAAACAGTAATCAGCCCCGTGGAAGTGCAGTTGCAACAGCAAAGTTGGTTCGGTGATACTTTTATCGACAACAACACAGATTCACCCGCACAGAACCGCGAGAATATCCGGAGCCTGTTGGCACGTCGCGGAGAAGCTAACTTCACTTACCCGAGAAACACGTATGCCGACATGGCATTTCCTGTGCTTGATATGTCGCAGCTGCCCGTCGCAAACAGCACAAGACAGGTGACGATACAGTTCAAAGTGCCCGCCGCGAAGCTGGTCTCAAGCTGCCAGCGGTTGCCTGAGGCCCGGTTCAACGTCACGGTGATGAACTACACGGAACAAATCTCGCAAAACACATCCGAGACGGTGTACCAGGGCCCGATGCTCATAAAGGAGAAATGCCCTACCGGCTACACGGACAACCTGGGCCACCTGTTCATCTTCGGCCGCAACCAAACAGGCGCGCACAGCGGCAAGTCTAGCTTTGCCGACATCCTGGCATCTCCTGGCAATCTTTACGACATGAACCAGCCCTGCCAACTGAACATTACAGATGCCAATGATCTTCTTCGTCCTACGATGCAGCAGACATATGTTTGGGGCCAGTGGAACTACGACAAGTACGACTTTGACCTGCTGCGGTTTTGGAGGTGCGACTATTCTTGGGCGCAGGTTATGACCGACGTAACCATGGTCAAAGGATCAGACGGCGAGTTCGCCATTGACCAGACCAGACCGCCTGTCCCGGACCTATCTACTACGAAGAAATTGGATCACCCATTCGTCGTACCTGTAAGAGACTACCAGGACCTGTTCATGGTCGTGGGGGCTAGCACCGGCCTTGATGGCAACGTGGCGCCTGAGATTATTATCACCGACCCCTCAGCCGGCGACATTAACCCCTTCTTCCGGCCTCTGATACAGCCGTACGGAAAGCTGCCGCTCGAGGCATTTGGCGACCCGGAGTGGGAGAACACGGTTCTGGAGGAGCTGCATACGAATTTGGGATTCGCGAGTGCGCAGCTGGCGAATCTGGAAAACCGGTTGGACGTAGGGCAGGATTCCAGGACCACCCCGTTCCCGGCCGAGGGTCTGCCGGCTGTGGAGGCTCTTGTGACTGACGGGGGGCAACGGAGGCTGATGCAGAATGCGACGGTCACGTATGTCATTATTGGGATACTTGGTCTAGTTGCTTTGGGCATCTTATGGACACTGTTCTCGAGGGTGATGAGGATGTATGGGGTCAAGAGAGATTGGTTTGCGATGGATGTTAAGGGGCTTGCGCCGGATGGGTTCGGGAGCATTGGTGCGATGACGAGTTTGTTGCGTGAGTCGAATGCGATGGATAATGTGCCGTCGCAGTCAGAAAGAGTCTCGACTGCCGATCTTCATGAGATGCTGAAGGGTTTGTGGTTTCGGCTGGGATGGTTCAGTAGGGAAGCGGATCAGAGGAGGCACTTCACTGTCGGGGTATTGGAGGATAAGAAGTTTTCGTGGGTTGAGAGTAAGATAGAGACGGAGATAGGAGAGAAGCCTATGTATGAGAGGGTGGCCAATACTTCTGATGAGACGACGTATAGAGGAGGCGGGCCAGAAGTTGTAGATAGAACACGGGATGGAGGATGGATTTGATAGAGATTTCGTAGCTACAATGCTTAGATACCTACCTACCCTTATAAGAGATACCTAATACTGAGACCGCATACTTTTCATGTGGCAGAGCGAATACTTTTCCTCTGGTGATATACTCTGCCTTACTATCATCGCTGTCGCTACTTTCGTCTTCTTCATCGCTACCGTCGTCGTCGTCATCGTTACTACTACCATTATGACTTCTACTTCCATATTAACAGGAGTGATTAACCATACAGGAAACATAGCCGCATATACACAGAAGAATTAGGCGGTCTCATAATCTTTAGGTAATATTCCTCATTAGTGAAAGTCCAATCTCAGGGGTCATCCCCTGCCGGTGACTGCCATTTAATGCTTGAGAGGTACTGCCCTTTGCCTTCAATGTAATTCGGCATGTGCGTCGACTGTGACCAGGGTGTCTCAGGGAAATCATTGGCAAGTAGATGAGGTATTATCTTCATATCTAGCGTGTGCCACGAAAAGGGTACGATACCCGTGGCAACCAATGATGCAGAGCTATTGGACGAGAAACACACCGCAGTCTTTCGGTTGGCTTACTCCGCCCCCCTCTTGGCCATGCGACTGACGGAACATCAGGCCCAGTGGCCACCACACACATGTTCTCTTGTCCTAACCCCGCTTCTCCTTCTCGCCATCGGCCTCAGCCTTTGCTAGAATCTGCAGTTCGGTGACCTTCATACGGGCTGCTGTCAACCCGCATCTCAATCATTCACTGCTTGATAACGCGGCGCCGAAAGATCAAGAAAGCAACAGAACCAACAATGCGTCTTATATCCACCGCTGATCTCACGCTGCACACATTTCCTGATGACGCGATTCCTCGATACTCGATACTTTCACATACCTGGGGCGACAATGAGGTGCTCTTCCATGAAATGCTGAACCCGACGAATGAGATACGAGATCGGGCTGGTTACAAGAAAATTCAAAAATGCGCCGAATTTAGTAGGGAGGTCTGGGATTGTGACTTCACCTGGGTCGACACATGCTGCATCGATAAGACGAGCAGTTCCGAGCTCTCAGAATCAATTAACTCCATGTATGCGTGGTATCGGGATTCCCATATTTGCTTCGCATACCTGGAAGACTTCCATGGCGAGAATATCACTCAACTGGCGCGAGAGATGATCCACAAGCATACACGATGGTTTACCAGAGGCTGGACACTTCAAGAACTTATCGCCCCCGAAGAAGTGATATTCTTCTCCGCGTCTTGGAAGAGAATCGGCAACAAACAATGGCATCTTCCAATCTTGGAGTCAATCACGGGAATCGATCAATCTATACTGAAAACGAGGAAACTACAAGACGTATCCGTCGCCGAGAGGATGAAATGGGTAGCATGTCGCAAGACGACAAGAAAAGAGGATTTGGCATACTGTATGCTGGGTATTTTTGAGGTGAATATGCCCTTGATTTATGGTGAGGCAGACAAGGCCTTCCTACGGCTTCAGCATGAGATCATGCGAAACTCGGACGACGTTACCATCTTCTTATGGAGCTCATCGGAGAAGCACCCAAGCACTTACAGAGGCGCACTCGCGCGCCATCCGATTGAATTTGTCCGGTCAACGGCACCTAAAGCACCGATGTACGTTCTTGACGAGCCATTCCAAATGACCAACAAAGGTTTACAAATAACAACACCGTTGACGAAATTGGACCAAATGGCTCCAGACGATATTATGTTCCTCGCCAAAGACCCTCATTACACTTCTCTCTTTCTCTTATCCTTTGACCAGCGCGGCCCGCAGCACAGGATAGTAACTCATCATGTCGTTCTTCGAAAGATTAAGGTGGAAAAGCATCAATACATCAGGGTCTACCCTGGTTTCCAATTCATCGCTGCACGGCAAGTTCCAACTACACAGCCAGAACCTACTCGAGCTATAGAAAAGACGATCATGATAGTTGGACGACTTACTCTTTCCGAAGTAGATGTCTACGGAATTGTGCCTTGCAGAGGTCTCAGAATCACTGAGATGATCCATATACAACGAAGCAAATACGCAAACGGGTCTGTACGGGAATTCAAGAGCAAGCCCAAAGTTTCCTCTATTGGTGACACGTACCTTGAAGATAGCAGCGAACTAGAGGCTCTATATTGCTCAGATGAAGACAGACAGCAGCTGCAACTGCCGCGATTACCTCTATCAAACCGGCCTTACAAGTCTATACTCTTGAGATATCAGGGGCAATGCGCGAAGGTCCAACTGTTCATACTCGACACTTGGCGTCTGCGTGCGTCTGGTTTGGACAAGGCCGCTTTTAGAGATGCAGTTCTGCAAGCAGTGCGGAACGGGCATTATCCACCTCGAACACCTACGTTTATTTCAAATGACAGCAGACCAGAAGGCCTAAGATTTCTCACGGGCACAGCAAATTTGAGAGAAAATCAGGAGATCAATGAACGCGTAGGCACTGAAGAAGTCTATGCCAAGTTTTCGTGGACGACGAGTGATGATAGTGTCTTTTTGGATGTGGCTCTGACGACCACGCACACGAACTGTAAGTAGGAAGTCCCCCACTTGTAGTGAAGAGACGCGAGACTGAATAAACCCTCTTCTACATGCAGATATCTTACACGAAGACGATGTGACTCCGTATGACGATTATGACTTGAGTAGCTGGTTATCTTAGCTGTATAGCTGTTTACATGCATTTGCGAAGATGGGTGACGATGCAAGGATTGAATGCGTCCTTCAAGAATCCCAGAGGAGTCGAAATACTTGTAGTATGGTATCAGAGCTTTGCTATCTTGCCTTGATACACAAGCTCGAAACTGTACGCCGGGTTATAGTGCATAGTCCAGTATCCGTCCCAAATCTTCTTCGTGATAGGACCAACCTGCCCACCGCTCACGGGCTTCCCATCGAGGCTGGTTATCGGCATGACACCACCCGCAGTAGTGCACATCAATATCTCATCAGCCTGATATGCCATCTCAACCGGAACAACCTCAACACGAACGGGGATATTGTTAGCCCTCGCTACATCGATGACGCTCTTGCGTGTGACGCCCTCAAGAACGCCGCGATCGGGGGTATACAATGTTCCATCTTTGACCAAGATTATGTTGAAGCCTGATCCCTCAGTCAAGTTACCATCTCCATCGGTTAAAAATGGGTAAGTGGCACCTCTATCAGATGCCTCGAGCATGCCCCTAGTAAAATCTCCCCATTGTAAGTTCTTCACACGCGGGTCTATAGCGCCTGGGGGCACCCTTCGAACCGTCCGCGCGATGATGGCATTGCCACCATGAGGCTGAATCGAAGGCGGCATGACCCAGATGAACGGAAGGACCAGCATGTAGAGCCTGTTGTCCTTGGCAACTTCTTCAGCGCGTGCGAACATAACGCTCTGGAGACCGCGAGTGACGATGAGTTCGACAAAAGCGTCTTTGATGTCGGTTTTGACGACCATCTCAATGAGAGTCTTCTTGATCTGCTCACGAGAGAGCGGCAACTTCAATCTCAGCTTGCTGCAGCTGGCGTCGAGTCGATCAAGGTGGTCCTCGAGACGAAAGAAGCGACCGTCCCAAACTGAGGGCACATCGTATGTAAGATCGCTTCTCAGAAAGCCCTGATCCTGCAGAGGGATGCGGGCCTCGGCGACTGGAACCAGATTTCCTTCCACCCAGGCGATGCCTCTGGCATAAGGGCTGGTGCTCTGCGCGAGCACGGCCTGCCGTTGGTGGTAGCCGGCAAACACCTTTCCCATGGAAGTCATTTTGAAATTTTGCCCAAATCTGGGGTAGATAAATATGATGATCTGGTGCTTGTGGTTGGCGTTGAGGATGATGAACTAGAAGGCCAGTGACGAAATCCCGACTTCTCCGGCCATGTCGTTGGAATTAACGTTGGTTTTCTCATTAGCTAACTATCCCAACGGATTGGAGATTACGACCTTACGTCAACAGATAAGGAAGTGTAGGGAGGGAAAGTGACTACATTGGATGATCTTAGCTGCCATGCAAGCATGTGCTTTGCGGGGACGGAGCCCGAGGTCCGCACTTCCATGAAGCCCATAGTTTAACCTAAACTACGACTTCGAAGTTATCAAGTTGCATCTACAGGCTACCCAAAGTTTAGCAGCAGTGCAGCGGAGGGAAAAGTTGGCCGAGTAAGTGATACTGCTGACAATTCTTTCGGTGTGATCCTGTCACTTGCCGCGTCGGGACCGCTGGTCAAGGAGCCTGCGGATTTACGGACTATTCATTATTAAGCGGTCCCTCGTTCAAGCCAGGAAAGCAATCCTTCTGCATAGGAAAGATGATTCTATCATTGTTCTATGCGCATGCTTACTAGACTAAACTAGTTCGAGTCGATTTTCGACTGCTAGGTATTGAGAAGTGCAGGTGGACATAGCGGAGTTAAGAAGTAGTCGGGGTGATCGCGGACAATCAGCATGACCGGCCGCAAACCGTGCTTGGAAACAAAGTACTTTTCGTGATAGCAAATGGAGTAGACATCAAAAGTATGAAGTATAAAAAGAACCCAATTATAGTGAATTGAGCGGTTTATCAGAAGGGGCTACTAACACCAACGATTGCTCATCTCAGTCCCTAGTCACAATGAGATCGGCAACCTACCTCTCGCTCCTACTTACTGCATGGACGGCGGCAGCAGCACCGAAAGCCAGCCAAAACTCGCTAAGAACTTCTGTAAACACAAGCTCTGGTGTCTTCGCTCCATACTTCTCTGATTCGCAGCTCGAAGTTGCCTCTTTTCTTGATATTCCCTACGCCGAAAGCCCAGTTGGAGATCTCCGATTTGCACCACCCCTCGCAAAGAGATACCCGGGCGACAAGGTTATCAGAGCGACAAATCTTCCAGCTGGTTGTTTTCAGTATGTTGCGCCTTACCTCCGCGGTACTGTGACGGATGGCCCAGTCACTGCAGCAGCATTCCAGCGAAACGATTTCTCGAATACCACCGAAGACTGCTTACGGTTGTCAATTTTCGCCCCGGCAAAGACGACCAGGAACAACTCTTCTTCTCAATCTCTAGCCAAAGGCAAGTCTTTGCCGGTGATTGTATGGATCCACGGCGGCGGGTACAGTTTCGGCGGCATCAATGTTCCCTTCCAGCTTGCGCCGAGATGGGTACAGCGAAGTCAAAAGCATATTGTCGTTCAGGTCCAATACCGCCTCAACCTCCTCGGTCTCCCAAATGCGGCAGGACTAGCTGAGACCGAAAAGAACTTCGACCTGCCTTTCCTTGACCAGCGCGTTGCGATTGAATGGGTTCGCGCCAACATTGCCAACTTCGGCGGCGACCCTGATCGCATCACGCTATGGGGTGAGAGTGCGGGAGCGTACTCAGTAGATGGGTACTTGTTCGCTTGGCCCCATGATCCGATCGTCAAAGGAGTCATCGCGGATTCTGGGAACGCGGTGGCTATCCCGAGTGTCTTGACCGACCCAAACAACCATACTACTTTCTCATTTGTTGCGGACCGGCTTGGGTGCGGCAACTTGTCGGCTGCCGCGGAGCTCAAGTGTATGCGCCAGGTCCCTGCATCCAAGATCAAAACGTACCTTCAGGCAGGTATTGGAGAAGGTGGCGCTGCCGATGATACTATCGCATTTGGAGCGTTCGCCGACAACGTGACCATCTTCAGCAACTATACTGAGAGAATCGGTAAAAACGGCTCCAAGTTTCCAATCCAAATACCCCTATTGATCGGGACCAACACAAACGAAGGAGCTGCAGTGGTCCCTTACAACTTCACAGGCACCAACACTGCAACCGAGTTGCCAAGCGACCTTGCCAAAGTCGCGCAGGGCTTCGCGCTCAACCTGCAATGCACCACGTTGGAGGAAGTGCGGCTTCGGTCTGAAGCTGGAGCGACAACATATCAATACCTCTACGCCGGCAACTTCACCAACATATCGCCCCTGCCATGGTTAGGCGCCTATCATACAGCTGAGCTCCCCTTGATTTTCGGCACTCACGACATTGACGGACCGTCAACGGATTTTGAAAAGAGAGTGAGCGAGCGGATGCAAGACTTGTATCTTCAATTCGCCATCGATCCTGAGAATGGACTGAGAAGTGCCGGTTGGCCAGCAGCAACTGCGCAACTGAATCAGTCGCGGTTGATTGAGTGGGCTGCTGGGCACAAGGCCGAGCAGGTAATTACAGCCGAGGCCCTGCGTGAAGAATGTGTAAGGAATGGATTTGCTGTTTGAGTTCAGACGCTAGGTCCGAGGGGGTACATCCTTTACCTATATGTGATGATTTTACCAGATCGTTAAGAAACTCCAAAAAAGACAAAAACGAATCAAGGTTTCCTTAACCCATCGAGCTACTTCATATTCCTTACCTGATAATCCCCCGCCACAGTCGAAGTCTCGGTGACAAGTCATGACTGATTAGAATGCGGCTGTTAGGAAGAAGAGAACCTAGAAGAATGATGGATCAACCATGATCGCCTCACAGGAAACTGCACTACTCCCGAGGGATCCGCAACTTTCCAGACGGAAACTGACGGAACGAGTGAGAGTTTTGAACCAGTAGCCGTGACTGGAGACTGAACTCTTGGTTGATGGTGTCCGAAAGAGTTGCCCTTTCATGTCAAAAGTATCATCTGAGACCCCGGCCATTCGGAAATTGAAACAAACGACACAGGTCTACGATGATCCGCGGCGAAAATTGTCTCTCTCACACAATTGCAGATGGCAAATGAGCTGGCATGAACACAGAATCGGTATGTGATGAAGATGACGCCGGAAAGACTGTAACAGTTAGGCCGTGGGACTGAGCACACAACCACCCGTTCTTATCGGGTACCACGGGAACTATTAGGACAGCTGAACTACGTCCGGTCTTTTGCATATGCCAGCCCAAACAGCCTCGAATCCAGTTCGCCTTGCCACCTCTCGTCTGTCGTCTTAACTTCTTGGCATTGATATGCGGGTGTCTGTGGGTATCAAGCACGTTGTCTGTGGGCTGACCAGTCCGCGTTCAGGACTGGGCGTTTCTTGTGACTAAGCTGCGGAACCTCATTGAAATCCGCAATTGAGTTCCGAGATAGTTGGATTATTAGTATGTTGCTTGAATTCCCTTGGATTCTGCCTGCGTTTGCTGAAGTGACTGCCGAAAGACGCGGAAATGCCGACAGGTGGGATGCCCCGTTGTGGGTTCTGTCCGAGTCAAAGCACGCTGGGAATTCCTCGATGCTACGCCGTAGTGAGGCTGACATCTGCATGAAGACCTCTATTCTCTTTCTTCGGACAACTGCCGCATTCGGAGAGGTTTCACTGGAAGAAAACTTGGCGGGAAGCCCGACGATTCGGAATGCGGAGAGGGGAAAAGAGGGTAAAAATCTGTAAGGGGGGAGCAGATGCGCAGCATGAAGTAATTCCGGCAGAAGCACCAGAATGCCCCGAAGCGGAAGCTAAGACCCACCGGCAGATTCGGCAGACGCCGAGATGTCGTTAGAAATAGAAATAAACTGTCGCGGACAGGGGGGCAATTAAAATCATGGAGGAGAGAATGTGGATTTGGAGAAGCCGGGGCATCCATGACATCACCCTCGCCCGACCTAACTGGAGGCGAACCGCCCCCATACCGCTATCTTTCTGGAGAAAAGATGGTGGGCTGATTGTGAATTATCAGATCTGTGACTTGATTTTACGCCAAAGCACCTTAATCTGACTTCGCTTCCGTCCAAGTGACTGATTTGTCCTCCTGTTCCATGGACTGAGGTCATCGTTCGGCTACGTACGCCTCGAGTCTGCCTTGATTTCGCCCTGGACAAGAGCCTAGCCAACTCTTGCCTGCCGTCCCTCCCGTGTTTTCCTACCCCTGTCTCACGCGACCTTGCACTCTTTTTCCGGCAGAATCACTGTGTCCCTAAGCCAGCTCATTGGCGACAACTGCCGCCAGCCCCCAGATTGACTTCACATGGTAATCCAAGAGACGACATCCCACTTACCGGCCCCAATCCTCAACTGGGAAGTTTGTGGTTCTCCGTACTTTACGTCCGGAGGCGCGTGATGGCGAAGCAGATGGCATGCTTGAGCATGGGGCACATATCCGCCAAGACCCCCCCTGTCTCAAGGTCTGCCCTGTGAGCGGAACCTCTATCAAGATCACATCCACCCCAGTCATTCTCTAAGCTATGTTATTTCTGCCCATCCAAGTAGGAAACGCTCCCGAACGACGTTTCAGCCGCCGGGCAAACATGTGCCTGTAAGCCTGGTGGGTGGGTGGCCAGCCGGCTTCATCGACGGGGATGGCTGGACGACGTGGCATTCCGTCAGCGGTTGACAAGACGCGGTACCGCAGCTTGTCCCCCCTCCACACCCATTTGTTGTAGGTTCGGGTTATCAAACAGCTAGATCTTTACAAGGGGGAGGAGAGCCGCAGGCTGTTGGCAGCATACGGTTCCCTTGGCGTACGCACTTATTTGAAGAACGAAAACCCACTTTCCTTTTGCCAAGTTTTGTCGATTGATTGTCTAGACTGAAGCACTACACAAATGTCACTGAATATGAAGCGCCGAAATTGGAGTCCTCGAGGTACTCGCCGTCGTGGTCTAACTGGCTTCTTGGCGCGGTTTGCCTTTCGTTTCATGGCCATCGCGGCCCTTTTCACCACCTATCATTGTCTCGATCTTCATGTTCGCTATCGAGACTCTGTGCGCGCCAAGTACTCAGCCACGCAGTTCACCATCCTATCGGACTACGATGAGGCAACACTCAGTAGTTCAGGGTGGGAGGC